ATTGTGTTTTATTTAAGATATTATACATAAATTATAATTAAATTTGTTAATTTCTTGAATCCAAATGTTTATTGTGTCCATAATGCAGACACAAGCGTCAATAATGCCGTTTAAAAATAACAATTGGAACCATCGCTGTCATCAAGTTAGAAATAAATAGAGCTAAGATAAAAATAATAGTTTACGTATTGACTATGTATAATATGCATGTATAGTATGTATACATAATTGATATTACTATCATAACAAAAGTACTATGGACGCATTTCCCGAATATAGGTAATAATTACGAATTTAATTATATTGCACTTTGGTTTAATATCCATTTTAAATGCCTCGTTGGCCGAGTGGTCGCAAGTGCGATTGCCGGGTAAGGGGTCTCCGGTTCGAATCCAGGGTCGGGCAAAGTATTACTGGGTTTTTAAAAATCTCAGTAGTAGCACGGAGTCTGGAAATGTGCCCGGTATATGGCGATAGGCTCACCCCCTATTTCATGGGTCTCATAACATAAATAGTGAAAAGTGGGTGTTACAGTGTACAGTGGCATTAAGTGCCGTAATGTTCACCACTGCCTACCCCTTAAGGGATAAAAAGGCGTGATGTTATGTTATGTTATGCGTTAAAAATTACGTAAATACATTTTAATGTCTAATTCATATAAAAACAAAATGTATATAAGGACAATAATATCGAATTTGCTTTACGAAACTACCATTTGCGGAATATTTGCGGAAACTAGGGTTGATACTTTGAAGCTGTTGTCTAGTAGTTAAAAAAATAACTATAAACAAAATACGATTTTTAATATTAATCTACTTATAGATAGGTCCCTAAAAGTGGCTATTTTGTAGTTAGGAGTATAGTAGTCAGAGTTACGTTATTTTTTGTCGCGAAGAAAATATTGTAAGGAAATATAAAGTCATACATTCAAACTATAAATTAATTAACAAACAACATCTACTACTTCTTTGTGTAAGGGAATTGGGATGATGACAAGGTATGAAAATTAATATAATTAGTCCGTAACTTAGGTAATGAAAAAATATTAGACACGTATTTTGTATTTTGTCGTACCTATAATAAAACGATACTTAGATAAAACGAATCAAAGTTTAGGAGTGGGGGCTAAAATGTCATTTCTACATATACTACATAGGAAGTGATGTAACGCGACATTTCAAATCAATATAATTATCGTCGAAAGTATTCGTAAGAAAATAAAAAATACGTGTCTAATGATTTAAAATAATCTACCAGACGGACATTAAAATAAAATTAGGCATCTACCCTATTCCTTCGCCTAATAGTAGAACAGTTAAAGGCAGCTAACGATTATGTTGACGATTAACGATAACGATTGTAAGTAGTGGTGACCTGGAGGCTTAAGACGCCCGCTTCGCAAGCATGGGGGTGCGGGTTAGAAACCGATCAACAGCAAGTACCAATGTGACGATTCCCGAGTTATATATTGTATATTCTAAGATTATTTAGACATCATTATACAGCTAACTGTGAACGAAAACACCACGAAGAAACTTAATCTTATAATTGATTGATCTTGACTGCACGATTGGCGCGGTGGTTGGACCACTGGCTGCCGCGCAACGTGTCGCGGGTTCGATTCCCGCACGGAACAACTCTATGTGTGAATTGTGATCCACAGATTGTTGTTCCGGGTGTGATGGGTATGTGAACTTGTATGTTTGTAAACGCACCGACGACACAGGAGAAAATCCTAGTGTGGGGCAACGTTTTTTAAAAAGAAAGAAAAAAAGGAAAAAAAAAAGAATTTCGAATTATACTAATATAGGTTTTAAATTGCCAACCCGCAATGAGCAAGTCAGTAGTGGCCCCTATAGTCTTAAATTGGGACAAGCCCGCCACAACCTCCCAAAACCGCTGCAACTCCTGTAAGCCAGGATCTACAGTAGATACAATCATGAAAACACCGGAACATTGAAGTCCGGCGCGTCCCAGGGACATGAGTAACTGTCTTGGTTCCTGCAACGAAGTGAATCAGAAGATATTATAAGAGGAGAAGAAGAAAAAACTATA